GCAAGATAGTTGTGCTTAAGGTATACATTGTTTAGCTGTACTTTAGGACACTCCTTTTTTTGGATAGGGTAAATATGATATTTTTAGATTTGGAGGCATTTTACTTGAATACGCCATCTTGTACCCATTGTTCAAGTTTGTTCAGATGCTCTTGGAGATTTTGTGATGCTTGGAATGGGTCTTCATGGCACAGCCAAAATTGCTGTGTCGTCCGCAAACGTTGCAGTGGTAGTCCTTTCATGTTGTTGGCAATCATTATGTGTATATAAGGTATAAAAAGGGACCACAGCACACTGCCTGAGGGACTCGCTGATTTAATGGGGTGGAAGATGATAATTCTTCTTGATATTTAACATTTGGAAGTGTCGGTAGATGATATGACTTATCAGTAGGTAATACAGCATGGGGGCAGATAGATTAATTTTATCAGAAGTCTTCGTGCCATACTTTGTCGAAAGCTTTTGTTATATCAAGAAATCAGCTGCGCAGTAGCTTTTCCTTTCGATGACTTTGAGTAATAACTCAACAACTCGGTGCGCTTTTTGTTCGATTGTTGAGTGTTGTTTCTCTAAATCGATACTGCGTGTCTGGATTATTCTTGCAGAAGAGGTTTTAACGTTGGAGTAAGATTTTTTCGAATACCTTGATAGATTGGAAGCAAGCTTATTGGGGCGATTAGATGAAAATCGTTAGGTGGTTTTCCTGGTTTAGGTATCGCTATATCTGTGCATCTTCCATTGTCCCAGGGAAATGGTTGAGTTCGGAGAAATCGCATTGAAAGCAAGGTGATAAATTCAATTAGCATTCGTTGATAATTCCTGCACAGACTTTGCCTGTGATTTAGGTCGTAACCTGAGGCTTTTTGTTAATTTATAAAACCTGAATAGTTTCTCTTTACTTCTTTAGAAGAAAAAGATGTGCGTTGGAGCGATAATCCGACAGGGAACATTAGTTAAATCGAGCAGTACTTCTTCCTCAATGTGATTGTCCATGGAGTTATAGGTTTTCAAATACGAAGAGAAGTGTTCAGCAAATCGTTCACTTTTCTCCTATTGCACTTCATTGCCCATCTCCATCTTTCTCCTTATAGGTGTAATTGAATTTTGTGCGGCTTTATTTTCTTACTAGCCTCAGATCGAATAGATTTTTTTTTTTTTTTTTTTTTTTTTTTTTTGTTTGTGTTGCAGTTGCTGTTAGTGACTGTAACATATTGTGCAAATGATTCATTTCTGAGTTGTTTCAATAATTCCTTCAGCTTGTCTGGAGGCGTCTATTGAAGTATTGTTCTGTCTTCCAGATGCCTGGTTGTCATCCCAAATACGTCGTACCGCCGTTTCTCTCTGATTTTTTCTCTTATGTTTATGGAATTGTGATTGCTTTACTATTGAACGAATTTAGGCGTTGAGTCCCAAGCCACTGGTAACGCGCGGAGCGGAGCAGCTGGCACGTCCGACCTGCACCGCTGCCGGCTTGGAACTCAATATGAATGTGTGTGGCATAAATAAATAGATAAGAACTCAGACTAAGCTAGAAAGTATCTCCTAAACCAATATTCTTATTATGTAAGTGTATTAAATTACTTAATTTTAGTCACATATTTATTTGAAAAAGTACAGGTATATGATTCTAATTAGTATTTAAATGTGATTAATTAAATGCAAAATAATTTCATTGTGTTTAAAGTAATAAATCTAATCTGCAAACTAATAAATACAATTAGAACGCAATACTTTACCTACTGAAAGGCCATGAAATTCACCTCTTTTATATTCGACAATTGAAACACATAATTGAAACACAATGATCGCGTTTTTCCGTTATTGTTATATTACTATTATTATTATTATTATTATTATTATTATTATTATATCACTATTACTATAATTTTTCTTTCTGGGAAATTCTATGTGTCAGTTTGCTGAGTCACTGACCTCATGACGGTTAGGTTTTTCGACCAGTTTCCCTCATCGTTGAGCGAACGCCGAGATGGCCCCTTTTTCTCCTCCTGTATATAAACGTAACTTCATTTGTGCACTTTTCTAGAGTTCAGTGAGTAAGATGATTGAAGAGGTGACCTGGAGAAGGGTGTAAGGGCCAAAAAGTAAATTTTTCAGGAGTAAACTAAGTTTAGACTACAAGTAGTAGTGTTTCAACAGCACACACTATCTCGCACTATTTATAAATTTGCAATTTTTGAAAATCCAGTGAGTTAAACGATAACAAGATCCGTGCCATCCTTTTAAGCTTTTATGTGTGGAAAAAGTTTGGGCAATTTTTGAGACAAAATATTTTTATAAATTGCATTAATCAATTTCTGAGAAAATCGGCTCAACGATTTATGCGCTGGCATTGACCTCAGACAGACAGAGAAACGGACGGACGGAGTACGGACGGTCAGACAGACGTCATAATATCTACGACACCTCTGCCTTCCAGAAACCTAGTAAGGCAGAACCCCAGAGCGTTCAGAGAGGCCCCTCTAAAGATTCCGTATTTGATATGTGTATCTCCTGCATTTACACATCAATTTTGCGTGTATATGTGTAATAAAGTTCATCTTTGCATCTGGACCTTTAAGAACGAGACATCTAATGGATCTATTTTGTAGTACATATCAAGTACATCAATTAGCCAGGAGTGAGGTGTGCTGTCGAAGGCATTTAGATAATCACTATACTACGCTGTATACAACGTCTCTCCTGTTTTCTTTACATGTCCACATACTGCCGCATGTATAATAAACTGTTTTTTGGAGCCCGGTGAACCTCTCTTAAAGCCTTTTTGCTCTTCATCCAAGATATTGTCTTCGCGATGCTTATAGATCTTATCAACTATTATTGAAGTAAATAGTTTGGATGAATTTGGAAAGCACGTAAAAGGCCTATATTTTCCGGGATCAGAGCTGGGTATTTGGGATTTTGGGAAAGGATTAGTTAATCCACAAATTAAAAATGGTGACAGTTCCTCAATTATTCAGTGCCTCTGCCATTCTTATTAATACCAGGGGATTTCAGTTTCCCATATTCTTAATTGCTTGGAAGAGGTCCTCTTCCGAGCGTTCGTAAACATATTCTACTGGTTCCACAAGTGAATCGGCAGCATCAACTTCGGAGCCACGATGCGCCTTTGTGGGATTTGCTTTCTTTCCAAACTTCTGCTCAAATTGTTTTGACGTCATGTTTTGAAACAGGCTCAGCATTATCATTCAGTTTTGCATCAGGTTGCGATAGAATCTCTTCGCGTCTGTTTCAAACAACCGATTCTGGACCCGGAAATCTTTACGTTACTAACGTGTAATTCGTGAAGCCCATACTTTGATTTTCTCTTTTAGTTTTTCAGCTACCATTAGCGTTAATGTGCCATTTTCAATTTGGTCTTTTTTGCTCAACATGGTGTATTTTGGGTAGAACTTTTAAGGTGAGCGTTGTTTAAGGAGTTACCTAGAGAGTGATATTTCCTAAGGAGATGCTAAGAGTGATATTTCACGCCGAGTGTCGGCTATCGGTTTCCTTGTTCTCTTCGCCCATAGGGCTTCGAAGCTGTTTATTCTGGTTGGCTGCCGGCTGTCGGTGTTCTTGGCTGGACCCAAAATTATCTGAGATACCAAATATCCAGATACACACACGATGTGATTTCCAAATTTCAGTAATCTCTTCCTGGCATCTGTACTATCTCACTTAAGACACCATGCTGTCTCTATCATCCTCTTAACTTTAGCACTTTCGTATATTCTCCTCAACAGTGCACGAGATTCGAATGGAAGAATATGAATTCTTTTTATCTCACATCGAAGGAGAATTTGCATCATGTCCTTATCGTGTGATTCATGGCCAGATAATTTTCACCATTGACGGGTGTTTTACTGGGAAGAGATGCACCTTCCAGAGAACTATTGTTGTCAGGGATATTGGATAGTTCGATCGAAGAACATACTCCGCATTTCTCTGTTCTTCTTCTCCTTCTTTTATTATTATTATTATTATTATTATTATTATTATTATTATTATTATTATTATTATTATTATTAAACTATACAATCGGTAACAAATGTGAACACGAATGAAATAGAATGAAAGATATGGTAGGATAACAATTCGATGAGACGGGATATGTCTTGAGAAACAATTGTTGCGAAGATGGTGTAACTGAGTATGCGCCAGGTATTACCTGAATCGCGAAAATCCAAATTCAGTACTATTTTTTTGCTTTTGTTTCGTGAATCGGCCATCATGACGACACGCGGTAAGTGCGTCCCACCGGGGCTCAGTCTTGAATAACGGGCTAGGTGCACGATACTTTGTTTTAGAGAGATCAGCATTTTTAACCCTGATTATATTTTTACACCCTAAAGAAGTTAGCCCTGGGGCATGGGGTGAAATTGTGATAATGATGTTGATGATGAATGATGAAATGGACACACTCAAACATACAAAGAACACAAGACAAACATGCCCGAGGCGGGACTGGAACCCCCGATCCTTTGGTGCGAGACCGCCACTGCACTACCTTAGCAATCTTGTCCATCGGATCGGCTTCAATAGTATTAGTATTAGTAATAATAATAATAATAATAATAATAATAATAATAATAATAATAAGAAGAAGAAGAAGAAGAAGAAGAAGAAGAAGAAGAAGAAGAAGAAGAAGAATTAACCCAATATAGTTTTAACATTAAGCTATTTTATGCACGCCTCTGAATTTACATGAACGTTCGCCCGTTCCTGTCCGCTTCACATCACTGGCTGTGCCAACAGGAAAAGTTGGACATTCACTAATCGCTGATGGTAGGATACGACACCAATGGGCACAAAGAATCACACATTTTATGAAGTTTTTTTACATAGTGTACTTAGTCGTCCATTGTGTCGCGTACGTCCGGTTTCTGTTGTAGTTAGACAGTTTTATTTGTGGTTTCGAAGGAAAAGAACCAAGTGACGTAAAGGATCACGGGGCGTATGTCAGGGGACCTTGAAGCCTCATATTTAAACGCCCTGCTGTCCACTGTCGCTACCTTTTCAGTCAGTTTTCAGCTGGAGCCACTCACCGACCGCAATGAAGACCTTCGCCTTACTGCTCCTGGCTGCAGTGACCTGCATGCAGGTACATCTCACACGTATTTATTTAACCCTTAAACAACAAATTCGGTCATTGAGACAGTGGCTCCAGAATGCAATTTTAGTGAATTAGATATATTGTAGTTACTATATTTTTAATGATGTTCTATGGGCTTATTTAAATTTTACAATATATTTTCTTAAAGTGGCAGTAGTTGAACTGATGATTTTTATGTCATTTCACACTGGATATGGAAGGTCAAGTAAAAATTAAAAAAAATATGTAAGTGATGATAGAAGGTGGAAAGAAAATTTAGAGTACAAACGTAAAGCAAAGGATCGCATCAGCACTCAATGGTTGAACGGAAATTGTCCCAAACATCGTTTGATTTTGGGGGCACAAAGTCACATAAATTTACATTTGTTTGCAGGCATTTAGAATTAGAAATATTCAATTTTAGAAATACCTATATCAATCAAATTGTCTCATATCTCAAAATAAATGTCATTTCATACGCTCACATGGTTGTTTAGTACATGCTGTTAAAATTGGTATATTTTTTACAATTTTTGTATGTTTAGTTGTATGCGCGATTCTACAAAACGGCTCAATCAATTTCACTGAAATATTTGAAGCCGTTTTTGGAAAAGTAACGTTTGACATTTTCTGAAAATGAGCAATTTTCAGCTCTTTTTAACATAAAAGTTTTCGAGAATCTATAAAAGAAATATTTTAAAGCACCTTTACTCCCAAATACAATAAAGTATAAAAACGCAAGTAATGTAAATGTTATTGGAGTGCATAATATTAAAAATAGTCATTTGTGCAATTTGTGAAAAAAATCAAAACGATACATCAAAAGGGCATTGATAATATATTGTTTAATGCATTTAGTTCTATCCGTACAAGTTTAATGAGAAAAAAAATTATCCTTTTTTTATATTGGAATGAAAATATATTATATTGAATAATGGATCTTGTTTATATTTGCAGGTCGCGAGCCAAGATTCTCGAGAAGTAATGAACGCCTGCATGGAAACTTGCGGGGTGGAAAAGAAAGGTCCAGGTGGTCCACCTCCAGGTACGCATCGTTGTTCACAGTTGCAATCTTTTTTAAACAGTATTATTTTAATATTATTGTAGTTCTAAAGAGGATCACAATGATGAGATAAACAGATTGTGACCTATCTCCTAAGGAGCACATTTGGTAATACTGAATGTTCTGTAGCACTATTCACAGTATGTGTCCCAAACCATAAAATCCATCTGTTGGAAGTGGCAATTCTTGCTGCAAGCAGAAGCTTTGAAAGATTTTTCTAAGACTTTTTGACATTGATTGTGAGGGGACCTAGTACATCAATTGTGAGGGGACTATCTCTGTTTAATTGTTCCAATGTTCGACCAGTCTCGATCTCTGAAACACTATATTTCAACTCAGTTTCTTGGGTATTTAGGTTCCTTCTTATAAGAAACATTTATTATTATTATTATTATTATTATTATTATTATTATTATTATTATTATTATTATTATTATTATGAGATTCGTTCTTAACCATATGAGCTAAATATTACAATGTTTTCAAGACTTTTAAATGTTACTTACATAGTAAGTCTTGGAGTACTTTGTGGCAAATAATTGTCAAGATCCCTGCAATTAAACGTTTATAGGTTTCTCTTAAAATGCATACCAGGAGAAATAGTAGTTCATACTATTTCATCTGCAGAAAGCACATTTTATTTGATGATGTCGAAAGCGTAAGTAAAACTCCTTGTTATTTTCTGAGGTTTTACTCGAAAACTCGATTTTTTGCAGGTGGAATGGACTGCTCCATGGTGGAAAATCAACCAGGACTGGGGGTATGTACTATATATTATTTTCATCTCTAGAGTCAATAAGAACGTCTGTCGCTAAAACCATGACAACCCAAAACGTCCCCCTTGTTAGAAGAATTTGACCTTAAAACGGAAACTTCAATGTAAACAGCCGTTTGTAAGTTCCACAAAGACAAACGTATCATGCGTAAATACATTACTTTAAGTATATCTTCACAATATCACAAAATTAGCTCATTTTGTTTCAAAAAATCATTAAATAAACATATCTATGATTAATGGATTTAACTTGAACAAAATTTAAATTAATTAAAAATTAAATAGACTTCAAGACGCAAAAGAACATTTTTTATTATGATAATTATTTGGAAACACTTCATCGAATCGTAACGTCTTGGCATTAAAAATTCTAATAATGTTTGTGGACAGCATTTCAATTACTAAGGTAATATAGCAACCACTGCAAATAACTATAGAGGCAACGATATCGGTATATGGACACACACAAACACCTAAGCCACAGGCGGGAACCGAATCCGCGACTCTTCAAGCACAAGCCAGCTACGGCGCTGCAGCGACCTCGGCTATCCAGGCCGGCCAACTAAACCTATTTTATATGCGTAAATTTTCTTGAGCCCTGGACTTCCTACCCCACTCCTTTACCAACATTAATTGAACTTAAGAATAAAAGATAATAACGAGCGTTGTTGACAAAATCTGACAACTAAAACGTTCTCTCCCATGTAGTAAAAACTATTTTCCACCAAAAAGAGATACCTCCAAACTACAAATATGATATAATCGTACTATCGAAATGAACAAACCCTCACTCTTCTCACATCTAACGAAATGGCGGTCAAGGGAACATGGGCGAATAATACACCATATACAGGTGGATTAATACTAATCAGAAATAATAAGAATTTGTAAAGAAATTTACAAGCTCACTAGGCATGTTTTCTTCTGTATTAACACAAAACCAAAAGAACAAACCTTCACAAAACTAAAAGAAGTTATTTCCAAGACCATTCGCAGACAAAGCTCTCAATGCTTGACTGCAATGGAAAACATGTATTATTAAAATACATTATTTCTTTGACATATTATTATTTTGATTGAATTTACGTCATTATTCCTCACTACTTCACATACTCGTATGTGTAGGTCTTTTTTTTCTTTTTTTTGCATTTCTCGTCGATTTCAATAACGTGATTTTTTACCTTTTTCGTCATTTTAATGCGTTTTTTATTATTTCATCGAGTTTAATATCATTTTAATGGTACTTGCTTCAAACAACATTTACGAGGTGCAACAAATGTTCAGAATTTGTTGCATCTCGTAAATACTATTTGAAGGAAGTGCCATAAAAATGATATTAAAATCGATTAAATTGGTGAAAATGCTTTAAAAGTAACGGGAAAAGATAAAAATGACTTATTGGCGAAAAATGAAACAGAGCTTCAAGATAAATATAATCATTGAATAAAAGTTTGAACCAGTTAGTTTGTATGCATCTTCATAAGGCATTCTGGCAGTTATGGGGCGCATCAAATTAATTCCATAATTTCTGATTCGAAATATCAACTTTCTCTCATTAATCAGTTCATTAACTCAGCACATATGTGGATTAGATTATTATTCAAGACCTCAAGAATATTTACTGTTGGCATTGTCAATGTAGTACATTTTTAATTCAATAATTCTTTATCTGTTTCAGTGCATAACGGCTTGTATACTCAAGAAAGAGGGTATGGTAAGTCAATATCTTTTTTTTATCATTTCTCTTAGTGATCATCATAATTAAGATACAATAAACCTCATCATATGTCGTACAAACGAATTACAGAACAAGAATTAAGACGTAAATGCGTAAAGAAATCATTCTAAAATGAAAGCTTGTTTAACACAGCATTCAAAAATAACAGAATAAATTAATAAATCAATGCTTGATAGTTACTTCTTTAATTATATATTCTACTCTAGTTATATACATTATTAAAAAAACGAATATTTAAGTCAATTTCAATTGCTTAGAATTACCTCCTAAATCAAGAATTGAGGCGTTTAATACACAAATCAACATTACGAAATAGGTTTATAGAAAAGTGTAAAGATTTAATTGTAAATAAACGTAGAATTAATTCTAGTTCTGCCATAAAGGGAAAATAATCTCAGGTACGATGCTACTACGGTAAATTAATTATATTCTGATTATGGGGTTCAAATATATTACTATAAATATTGTAAGAGCCACACAGAAAAGAAGAAGAAAAAAAACTAGCGCCTAATCCGCACGTAAGATTCTTTTTCTAAAATTGATTCCATCCAATGGATTTGACTTCAATATACGCAATGTGAATAAGACTTGGCAGTGACCACAATTGATGCCCTAAGCCTCCTCAGCCGGTGAATTCCTCTGATAATATTGTCTATTTAGATCTCAAATTCGATCAGCCAGAGAACGACGCACATAACGGATATATGACTAAGACTGTCGTTGCGCTGATCCCTGAAAAATAATTTGGGAATCAAAGAGCACTTTGTAACGTTGGGCGTCTATGTGGCACCAAATCCGAAAATTTCCATCAAAGCAGCCAATGCTGAAGTATATCAAAGATGACTGAGCTTAGGAATCTTTTCCTAATCCCAGACAACATTAATTGACGTTATTCTCGTGTGTCGTGTTTTAGAAACTTATTTTCTTCTTTCTCACCTACTACCTACTCTCACCCACTAAAACTGTATAAATTTTGTATAAATAGTAAATTACTTCCTCTACCGTTACTTCTTTTACCGTTCCGACGATTTTCTCTACAATTAAAATGCGCCGATCGATCTGCCCGAACTCGAAGTTCTGCAGACTTCAAATAGATACTTTGATTGTGAGAGGTATTTTACATGAAGCTTTAATAACATTTTCACGATTTTCTCAAAACTGGCTCCAAACATTTTTGAATTTTTTTTCTCTGACAGAGAAATGAACTCTTAAAAACGATTTCACACTCTTAGAACTCTGCCAATTTTCCGAAATTGCAGAATTTTGAAATGTTTTCGGCGTCTTCATAGAAATACAATAATATTGATAGTTTTTCCCCCTTAATGAAATGCGTTCTAGAACATTAGATCTTTAAATAAGTTATCGTATGTTTTTAAAAATATTTTTAGTTTACGCTTACTTTTGCTTGACATTAAAGCAATTTAAAAAACTCTCAAAAACTGCTCCAAATTTCGTCTTCAATTTTTTCTCGAATTCAAAAAATTACGCTTATAAAACATGGCGCAGGTTAGTTTCATTTTCGATGAACTCTCTGAATTTCCCTCATAGCAAAATTAGAAAGAATGCAAAAATATGTGCTGTAACAGCAACAACTGTTTTCATTATGACTTAAAGTATTCTCCTACAATGCACACTGATCCCATCAATGCCATGTGTTTTACATTTCGTCAAGAGATCTTAGCGTTCCAAAACGAGTTCTTATAAAAAGTGACAGAAACCAGGCTATCTCAATCGCTTTATTCGTCGTTCAGAAATTATTTGTGCAAAGCCTGATGAGAGCACAGCTTGGGAAGCGGCCGGACGCTCCGCGTCAAAGGTCAAATCGTTGCCGTTCTTACGATGCCTAAGAAGTCGACTGAGAGGATGTGATATACAGCAGACGTCTCGCTTCTCGGAAACCATCGAGACACTGTGGGCCATAAAGATAATGGTTTTATTTGTTTTCGGAGAGATATGACGAGAAACGTTCCTTGTAGGATTCTTTCCTATTTCTAGACCATTTATTCATGTGACAGTTACTCTCTCATTCGCATACACATCCACGTGTTTGAAAATTTTATTAGTTATGTTATTTTTCAATTGTCGTCAAAAACAGTCAAAACAGTGAGTGACGTACGCGAAACGCATAATTAGCGCATGTTTTCTTAGCTTCAAAATTTCATTTACCGTACTTTATGAATATGAATTATGAATTAAAATACAAACGAGCGTGATTGGCAAAAACTTATTTCCAGCGGAAAATAACTGCAGGTTATTTGACAAAATCACAACACTCCTCTGTACTTCTGCAGTAATTGGCAAAACCAGACCTCAACAAAATATGCGCATAGTGAAGCTCAGTCCCGAAGCAAAGAAAGGGGCCATTTCAATACCTTGAAGCATTGCCCATACAACAAACACACGTGAAGCACTTTTATCAGGGTCATTCCTCATTTACGGACATGCCCCAAAACGATGAATTCAAACCTATTAACTTATCTCTTATGTTATCTCCTTAATACACGCGATGATGGGAATACTATTCGATGGGACAAAGCCGTAGGGTTCGAATTTGGTGCCTAGTGACGATGAAACAGGATCAGAGGCAATAGCGAAGTAAAATGTAGTGCATCTCACCAGCGACAATTTTGGAAGGCAGACGACGTCTAAGCCATAAAACAAAATCGACTATGGTTAGTATTACATATATTTGGATAATGTACCGTTACCTTAAACAATAATCAAAGATTCATTTATTTACTAATTTTATATTTAAAGAAATCAGTCATATTGCAAAGTCTAATTTCATCTGAATTTCATGATGAATACATTATCATTAATGCTATTTATTAATAACATATTTGTAGACAATTAAAGAGGTAGAAATATTCTATTATTACTATACATATGAAGTTCCGTATTTGTTCCACATTTATCCATGTAGAAATACCAAACATTTCACGCTTCTCCAGGTGTCAATCAAATATATATTATAAACTAAAAAGTTAAAATATAGTAAGTGAAAAGATAAATTGTTGGCTATGTTTTTTCGTATGGTAAATAAATAATGGAATATTTCTTTGTCTTTGATCGTTAATAAAAAACAAACAGGATACCTTACGGCTTACAATATCACCTTAAAAAAGACAATGATTACTGGATAACACCATAACCAAAAAGATATTTAAAATTTGCATTCATTGAATCACGCATTTAATATCAACATCAGAAGAATTATGAATATTAATTCTACTTTGATAATTGTCAGCTCTATATTTCAGCCTCACGGCTCCACTTGCTTTCAGATTTATCGATTTGGTAGATTAGGGTCACAGAAACGGTTAAGAATAATTTTTTAGTTCCTCGAATATATCTGATAGTAATAATTTAATAACGGAAAATCATTTCTGATTTTTATTTTTATTGGGTGTTCAACATACTAATTACTCATACTCATTAGTTATCTTCATATTCAATTTCAAAAATTTCGTCGCTAACCGAATTCCTTAACTTCGCTCAGGTCACGGAGGTTAAGTGAATTCGAGACTTTGCGTGTTTCTGATTGGATGTCCGTCTAGGAACCCCGAGATCTAACGGCGCTGAGCCCCTGGTCGAAGGTGTAAAAGGCTCTGGCTGACTGTGACGTGGCGACACTTGACAAAAATTGTAAATGAGGATTACTCAATGCCATGCGCTCAATGCCCAAGAAGGGTTCTGAGACGCTTTGCGTCGGCAAAGACGCAACAAAATCGAAATAAAGTTAAAAAAGTTTTAAGTGTGATTTAACTTGACGGGCCAAAGGAATTTTTGGTGAAGGCAGGTTTCTCCCTTTTACATGTTTTAGACAGATTTTACTGTAGTAGCAAAATCAAATGTCGAAATTGCCTAAGTAAGTAAAGAACGCTTGCTATTGGGTTTCACACAAAAGGATTCTTCTTGGCAGATTGTCGAGACCATACGCGAAATAAATCAGAGTTAATTTTTGAATTACAGATGAATGAGGATGGCTCTTATACTACCACCGATGAGGCCGTACTGAAGCAGAATTGCCAGGATAAAAAGATGCCCATGTGTGATGACGTTTCAAAAATGGTACCATGTTTGTCAGGTAATATTTTATTTCTTTATTTGTAAAACATTAAATAATTAACGCGGTGTTGAGCAAGGGAACGCATAGTATTCTTCTAAGAATAAGAAAAATGCCATTTAATATTTTAATACGTTTGTTCGATTTAATAATAATGTTTTTAAGAATATTTAGTGTAGTTATTATGTATATTTAAATTACTTCAGATCAAATTAGTATTAAGATACGTTTGACCAAAACACAAAAATTCTGTCTATTTCTTTTTGAATAAATTATGTATGTACTGTGGCACTACAAGCCTCAACAGACTATGGCCATCTCATGGCGTCCCAGCTTGACGATCACGGGCTCGGAGGACATACGGAAAACAGGTCGCAACCGCTTACGCCATTTATTAGACATGAATTAATTATTACATAGTATTAATACATTTTCCCTCCAATCTAGTCAACTACTAGTAATATTTCTGGTTTTGATTTCTCACAATATTCTAGAAGATTAAAGTGGAATTTGTTCAAAACATTATGAGTTGTTAAACTTTAAATTCAAATATTTCGAAATTAATTGCTTACAAACAATAAACATACTTCATGTAGGTATTCACTTATTAGATCGTTCACAATTACAATGATTATTACTAAAAATATTCATAAAACTGGTCTTTTTCCAGCATTTTTATATAATTTTATGTACTTTTAGATATTATTAGCCAATTGGAAGTCGAGAATCTTTCGTAAATGACTCAATATCTCGACACAAGTGCCTATTTACAAATAACAGAATTCTCAAAGAAATGTCATTTTTTTAAAAAGGATTTGAATTTTCTCTAGATAATTAAAGATACCTATTTGTGAACTGAAGAATTCTAGTAAGGTAGTACATGCATTAGTCGTATTAACAATTTCAGTGAAACTTTTTCTGCTGCATATAAGTTGTTGTGTGCTGTTGTTTGCTGTGTGTTATGTGTATAATGAATATGTTTATCGGTCACGTGCGTCTTTAACCCTTGTTAATATGCAACCCAATAAGTTTGTTAAGTGCACTTGTACATACCTGTAGGTTAAGGAATTTAAAAGCCCTAGCAACGGGTTTTAACATCTTTAGTAACCTAAATGTACAACCGCCCATTTATCGCAAGTCAACATTATTACGAAAAATCACGTGGTAATTTACAAGACAAACAGTAATCAGAGAAACGCATTATTCTTGGGGATGTTCATTATTAATTATAATGTTATTAATTGTGCAGTTTGAAAAATAAATATTTGGTAAATAAGCGTTATTTTTGTTGCACTTGTTAAGATATATCGCAAGCAATACCCAACAATTTGGATTATCGTGCCCAAGAACAGACTTCATGTGTTTCATATGGCAGTGATGTCGTAAATTTTTTCAACAAAATTGAGATTTTATGGTGACGGATAAAACGCTGAACATACCACGAAATGTTACACCGTTATTACTGCCTCGTCCAAATTAGAAATCTCGGCTCTGCTACGCTCCGCCTCGATTTTTAACTTTTGGCATCGTCAGTAATAACACTCATAACATTTCTATGTATGTTAACAGTTATAACGTGTCATGATAAAACTGTAATGAAAACATTTTAACCTAAATATTTTCTTCGTTGTCAGCTGCCCCTATTACTGATGCTGACGATTCAAAGATGGCTGGAAGTTCACAAGCTCGAGGATCACTTAGCTGTGCATGTAAAGCCATGGAGGTAAGTTATTAATCTTAAATACGAGAGCGACTCATTCGCAACCACACACTATTCATATACAGGATGAATAATTTCAAATGGATACTAAGCACCTCCTTCTTTTCCTTAATTAGAACAACTAAATATTTCCAGTATCATTTTGCTGTGCAATGCATCGTTTCTGCACAGCAATATCTTGATTATTTCTGTCTTCTGTAGCGTCCCGAAGATTGGTATTATATGGATTCAAAGCGCTGAGAATAGCTCTAAATACTTTCGAAGAAAAAAAATACAAACGAAGAAAAAAAGTGTGAAAATCTCGGAATAGGGATCCAATTTATGAAAGCTCTGTATTGAGCGCCGCCCTTGCATTACCTCTGATTTAGAACTTCGCATGCCAACTGGCCATCAGAATCGCAGTGCGCTCGTGACTCACAAATAACGCTAATGATCTGAGCCTACAACAGCGCTCTGGATCTTTGAATTAAAAAAATAATTGTTGCGTCGTCATTGACGCAACGCGTCTCTTGGGCCCTTGTTGGGCGTCAATCGCTTACCATGGAGTAATCCTTTGTTATAATTTTTGTCATGTCTTTTCACGTCGCAGTCATTCAGTGCCTTTTATCCCTTCGGCCTCGGCTCGCCGCCGTTACATCCCTTAGATCCCTTAGGTCCTAGGCGGTCACTCAACCAGGAACTCGCGAGTCTCAAACTCGCTTGTACTTTAATAAATGCTACTGACGCCAAAACGGCAAAGGAAAAGCTTATTGCTATCATTACTAATATTAGTGTATATTACTAATATTAGATAAACACGGAAAATTTTTATTACTTTAAATGACTAATGTTGAATCTACTTGTCTAAAGATCAACGATTTCTTTTGCGAAAAAAAACAAGCGTGTACCTCAAACTATTACCAATAAACTATTAATTTGATGATTTAATGTTTAGTTCATGTTTTGTTGGCTTCATATTTCCTTATAAAGATAATGGGTAACTTTGTATGCATCCCCATAATTCATTATTAAAGATAGATATTTTTTTATTGAAATCTTTTCTTTAAAACTAAAAGCTTACTTAATGACATCTACAATGTTTTAAAAATTTGAGTAATTGTCGCATAATTTTGTGCGAAATCGTTATAATTAAAAAAACCTGAACAAGACTTTAAAATGGCACATATGCAGTTTTCAGTAAAACCTTTAAAACATTTCAAAAATGTATCATAATTTGTTACGTTGGGAAGAATGTACGAATAACATCAGCGCGCTGTCAAGTGGATTAGGTTGTTGTTTGCGCGAATTTCGGGCCTAGGTTCAAATGCCAGCTCGAGGAAATATTTTTTGAGTGTTGGAAATATTAAGGTGTTTAGTTTGTATTGAAATATCACGTAACATCTACAAATAATGCGAGAAGGTGTATGTTGTTGGAGCTTCCCTAGAATATTTCATGCATGAGTATCACACCACTATATCAGTACACGGATTATGTGCGAGTAAGGATGTGCCTGCAAGGATCAGGTTCGGAGTCATATACGTATTTTGAAACATCATTATTTATTCGTTATATAATTTAGGCATTCTTAATTTGTGTTCATTTAATCGAGGAGTGTTACCTAGTGAAATCTCTGCCAGATATTATATTTTGGTGATATCTTTTGTATTTTTAGATATGTGTACTTTCTGTTTCTTTGATTATGCTCTTGCTTGCTCAGTTCCTGGCCAGGATTCCGCTTTCAGTCTCTTCTGACATATTTTGTTTAGAATCCGATCTTACAATTCGGGCAAACTTCTGTTCACCAGTATTGCATTCTCGGCTTTCATTTTCTAATTTCATGTTCCATTTCCTTGGGGTTTTTCTCCTTCTATGGGGGATTTTACACGATATTTTTCCTCTTTGAGTACAGGAATTCCGTTTTTCAATTCTACAAAAAATTGCTCTAAATCGCAAAGCTTCTTTAGTATTGCCCCTTTTCCACCTGAAATATTATCTTAAAAGTACTCGACGAGAGAAAGAAAATAATCGTCCACAATAAAGTAAGTACTTTATTGTGGACGATTATTTCCTTTCTCACATTATGGATTATCACAAGATATCTGCTACCATGGAATTTAAAATTATTCGTTCACAATAACTGTTGCCTATCTCTCCTCACGGAAAAAAGTCTGTTTAAGGAAAAATACTCCATCACAAGTTTCATATTTCTAAGAGAAGAAATCAAAAGGGTAAAGTATGTGGAGTTTCACTTCCAAAACGCAACTCACTTACTTTTCGCTATTTTCTGCGCAAACCATGATGAAATCACGACAAATCACAAGAAGGCTACTATTTACAAATTTCATTCCATATTTCATTCAGGTATTGCGACGTTACAATATAACTTCGTATTAAAACAGTGTTCTCCTTCTCAACTCTTCAATATTGTCATTTTGTTATGTTTCGTAAAAGAACACGTGAGTCTCCATATAAACATTTAGTGATTTCTTAGAGATTACACTAGAGAAATAAACTATTTCAGAATTTCCATTTTAAATAGTTATTTTGATTTTGATACAGTTTAAAAATATTTTCTTAATTTTTGGTTTATGTATTGTGTTAATTTTATTATTTGTATTACGATATGTGCCAAAAAAGTCCCTGCATGCGAAAAATAAATATATACTGACTTAATCATTTCTTTCTGTTTCAGAAGCAAAAGTCTGGCTAGTGTTATTGAAGAACAATAAGAATAATCAATGTACATTCCAGCGTTTATTACTGACTCCATGTTTCCGATGATCAATAAATAATAAAAATATGATTATGCTTATTCAGTAAATTTCCCGATATCACTTAAAGAATCTAATGGTCCCAAAAAATGGTAGTAATGAAAATACCATGCAAATTTTAAAACTTATTCAGTGCAACCACCCGAACACAATACATGAATGTAACTTTATGATCTGTGAACGTCTTCTTAGAGTTCAATGGAAAATATAGTTATTCAAATTATCGTTCTCCATGTTGTGCGGCAGAAGTATATTCTTTCACGAAGGACATGGTGAACTCAATTTTATAGCTGATTTGTCTTTGAAAATTGATTTTATTATATCGGAGCGAATATTTTGTTAACTATTTTTGCCAAAAACGCTCATCTCTTTCTGTATTCAGAATTCAACTTGTGTATGGTTAGGGTAGGAATCCCAGAATTAATAAAACGTGATCAGATTACACTTCTCCCGTAGCACGTTACACAGGGTTTTAAATTGTTTTGACATAAAATAAATAAAAACACATTTGGACACATTCTAAGGAATTGTTTTTTTGAACTACGTAGGTTGCTACCTTTACCCATTACTCTAGCGCGTCCGAGGTTACGAATGAAGTACAGGGCTTTATGGGCTTTTCCGGCAAATAAATATCGCCTCCAGTTTTGAAGATTTCAAAACTGTTTAAATACTTAACATAATTTTTCATAACAAAAATTACATTGATAAAATAATACATCGAATACATTATATATTTATCACAAATCGTGGTGAATACCTTTTAGAAATTATTATTTTTTGTACGAAGGGATACGGTCAGCTATTGAATCAGCCATAGCTGCGGTGCCACGTGCTTCGGTTGCTGTATCATATTGTGCTCAAAAAGTTCGCGTTCCGATTGTTTACCTGTAATTAGTTGTTTTGTTTTTGATGCATATGGTTTCAATCACGTCAAAGTTAAATGTAAGTTATTTTACTTTTCTTCATTTTGGTTTTTAGGTGGTGGTGCATTTATTCATTTACAATTTTTAAAATTTAATTTCTTTTTCTTTGCAATCATAATTTAGAATGTATGATCCACTAACCGTAAAGTGCAAGAGTGGGAAAGTGCTCCATAGGTAGGGAAAAATGGTTATTAATGTTTATAACTATTTAACTATAATTGTATGTTCGAGCGGGATTCATACAAAGTGTCTACCGGGAGATGACTGTCCGCTCCGCAGGCGCGAGGCAGCTCGGTGATCTGTAAGTCAAAACAGTTTGTTCCCGTAGGCCCGTCTTATTTTTTCTTTAAAGACATAAATATTTTGTTTGGCAATGAAAACCTTTCATTTCTGTACTGGTAAAACGGAAACAAGAGGCCTAGCATTTTTGCAACTAGTTGGTTTGAATTTTCGATATTGTATTGAAATAGTGGTGCACTTTAAAATTAATATTTCTTCCTGATTTCCTAATGACATTTCAAAACATAAAGGACGTGAGAAGCTTAACAGAAACGTTTCCAGTATATTGGAATCTCGTAGGAATAGTTTTAAATTTGAGGAAAGGGAAGAAAATACGCTTTCAAATAATTGGGAAGGCTCGAGACATTGCGGGATTCGTCGTCACCATTAAGCGCAACTTCCGATTCATACAGTGCAGCAAGAAAGCGCACGTTTGGCTCTTATGTAGGCATAAGAGCCCGTACTCCATTTTTAACTTCCAACGCGCCATAGTTACCGCAGTCGTAAATATTTTCAAAGACTCGCGAATAATATGTAGCCAGTGTATGGAAATTATCAACAACTTGAGAAGCATTTGGAGCAATAAAGGAAGCAAATTCACAACATTTCTTCTACATGCTGTAAAACAAATTGAGCTATAATAGGCCTAACACAACTAAACATAAAATTCTCTTACTCTGCATCTACATACATCCAACAAAGCATGATATGGATTACTTCACTTTCTTAGAAAATCTAGGGATAACGCTGAACAAAATTGGTAATCGCTATTTTGAATCCATTGTTTAGGTGGAGATTTCAACATTGATTTTCTGGGCGTATCTCGCGAAAAAGAGCAGTTTCTCAACTTACTTCTCTTAATTTAAATATTACAGTGAACATAACTACACGGAATACATTTTTATGGAAAAGAGCGATATACTATAACTATATAATAACTCTTATTAACAAAACCACAACTAGATGTGAAATATTAACAAATGATTTAGATTACAATGACCACGATGCAAAAATTCTTACAATTAATAGTAAGTTGAACAGAAACACTTTAAACAGTACACTATGTGAGGATTATTTACTAAAGCTAAAAAAAGTTGTTTGTGGACTACTTGCAATTATGTGACGCAGTTTATAACGCTGTTGACAAACCGAAAATATAATTTATTTATTACAAAGCTATCATTTCACTTCAAGGTGCGCTTTCCTCTTACAAAGAAAAACTTAAACATTTCACGGAAAAGCAATACTTGTATAACACAAGGCGTGTAAAACAAACCTACTCTTTACTTGATTTCTAAACATCGTAACATATTACCCGGTTGCCATGTCTACTTCCGAAAATTGAAAATCATCCTAAGTAAAGTAATAGCACAAGTAAAAATATTGAAAAATGATCTGAATGTTTTGAACGCTGATAACAAAACTAATGCAATATGCAATATCGTGAAAATCCTGTCATATACTCTCAATACTTTGCCGAGAATGTAGTTTTAAACGATGACGTAGAAGTATGAAAGCCGGTAAAAGTTGCAAGTTTCTTCAGCCAACACTTCGAGAATTGCGGTTGATCTCTCGAAGTGACTAACACCACAAAACTCAACACTATACATTCCGCCGCGGCGGAATTGGGTCTTTGCAAACCCCTTCACTCCCCCTTTACTCCCCTTCCTCCGATGGGTCCACCGTGCGCCACAAAGATGCCACAAAGATGCGGGCGAGCCGAGAGTGGGCGAATGTTAAGGACGACTCGTGCCGTTTCGAATGTGCGGACGTAGAGGGAGATGCGTGGCGAGAAAGCCAAGCTCAAGGGCTGGACTATTGCAAGAGAAGCCTTCCGGCCAATCGCCACCCGTCCACGCACTCAAGCAAGCCGCAGTGGCTAATAGGTGGGTAGACCTGTATTTAAGGCTTGGCAAGGTCGGTGGCGGTCCGGGGCCCCCACCAATTACAAAACATAGGGGAAATTGTTGGTTTTAACAAAAGTCATAAAATACACGCATTTTTTTGTCATTTGAATAACAAATTTGCATTCTAGCATTTAAATTGTATATAATATTTTTGAATACAAATATATTTGTTACATTACAAAAGCATATCTTGAATGCATTCTAATGTATGTGATAAAAGCTGATTATTTTGGAAAGTAATACTACTCAAATGACAGCAACAAGAACCTAACTTAATATTTTGAAACAGTAGAGTTGGTGTTTTTTCAATAAATAACAAAAATGAAGATTCAATATCAGTTGGCGAACGTACGCTATCTACGAAAGAGAATGAAAGGAGGTACTTACAAAATTTGGCATTGTACAATAGGATACAATCCACTAAAGCTGCAACTATTTAATACAGTCAGTAGACCGTTCATAGTATCAGTAGAGAGTTCACAGTAAATAGATTACACGATATTTTCTGAAGTTGAATTTGATGCTCAGATTGAAATTTATTCAATAACTGTTCTTGTAACAACCACATTAACGGAATTGTCCCTCGTCACTCAAGATAATAAATGTTCTAGTAATTAAGGGGAAGTGTTAGGGTCCCAAGGGTTCAAAAATCAGATTTTAGTTTTTTTCATTTTTTGTATGCTTCATGTCTACTTTATATGGATCAAAGAGATTACCGCGCTCAAAGACTTGTAACTGGTTTAATTGGTCATTTAAAGGTCTGGGTATCCTAGTGCCACACTCAAGTCTAATGTCATGTTGCTTCGTTTTCGTAATTTTTCAATTTTCCTCTTTCTGTTTGAGAACGGATTTTTTTTCAGATAATAAGTAAGTGGGCAGCTATGTAGTCGCTATGTTTTGGTTCGATTTGGGTGTTTTTTGTGATTTCGAGTGTTTTCTGCGGTGTAATGGTTATTCTAGTTGATAATGATGTGCAAATCAGTTTTCAAGAAGAGAAAAGGAACTGGTGAAAGAAAATGGGATGGAAGAAGAATGAAGAAAGCACGGAAATTAATGATTCTTTTGGTGAAAATGATGTTAGTTTAGAAGAGGGATCAGTACGACCAAAAATAATACGTCTCCTGGAAGTGCTTTCAGAAGAAACCTGTCCAGTAAAATGAGTTTATATGTTGGCATTGATGCAGACAATAATAACAGTAATGTTATTGTATCTTTAGAGGTATTGTACAATGCAATAAGACAGTTTACAAAGTATAAATGATACAACACTGAATTGATTGTTATAAAGACTTTTCTATAAGGAATAGTCATTAACGTTCAATCCAGATTCCCGAAATGTTGTATTTTGGCATTTTTCGTAAACAATTAACAGGATATATCTGAAAATTTCACCATATTGAAAGCTTATAATAACCTATTTACTGAGTTATTTTAAACAATTTAAGTTTAAAGACATTAATTTAATAATATAATATATAATACAAAATACAGAAAAATGTCGAATTTTTTTTAAATGTCTACATAAAAACTTTTTTGAAATATCAACTTAAAAATAATTCAGTAAATGTAAAATATATGTTGTTATTCGAATAAAAAATTTTGTTGCAGTAATGCTAATAGTTTATGAGAGAAATGTATTTAGATTTGCTGAATTTAACAAGACGGGGACAGGGCTTAACACCTCCCTTTAAATTAACACCGTGATTTAATGCCGAAAATAAACTGAAATCTTGTAAGGTTTTGACACAATCACCAACTTCTTAAGTTCACTAAAATGTAAATAATATTTTAAAATTCTTAATTAATTTGATCATCTTTTTTATAGCCAAATCGCAAATTTACTTCCTGTTAACCCGCAAAAAGTAATAAAGGCACTTGAACCAAATAAACTCAAATTGCTAAAATAGATGGAGTAAACACAAAAATACAAGGAGCACAACCAAATGCTTTATAAATACTTTTTTTAGAAGATTTCATCACATCAAAAATTAATATTTCGAGAATATTAACTGGTGTGCCTTCTACATCTTCTACTATTGTTACTGCTTCTGCAATTGCTACAGCTACTGCTACTACCCAAGAAACGTACACGTATGTGGCTCTAAAAAAATATGATGCGTAACTGTGAATAAGAATAACTGATCGAAATTATAAATTCACTGGGAAATTCAAAAATTCAATTTTGATATAGGTCCTATAAAGTAATATTTATATCAAGTTATATTTCTTATTTGAGCATTATGCCATTTATTTATAGCATTTTCGTTTCTTTAATTTCATGAATCGAATTCATAAAAAAGTATGTTTTCGTTGTGTTGGTAGCGGAGCAGGCATGTAGTATTCAAAAGGATCGCGCGGTCATGAAGAATCCGAAGGGTATGATGTTTTAGAATTACATGTTTTGTATCCGGTCTATAAACTCAGTAATGAGCTAGTAAACCATCAAATAATTGTGGGGCAATAAATGAGTACTAAATACTCCAAATCGTTTTCTTTGGTGTTGCAGTAATGGCTGTTCCAGATTTACGGTTCTCCGGCATATAGTGCTTATTTTATTCTGTACTACGTCAACAGCGTGACGAAGGTAATATTCGTATAGTTTGTAGCAATATCTCTCTAGTTTTGTAATAAAAGTGTTTATTATACATAAAAATAGGATATGTAAGTTAATTGTGCCGGCTTCCGCCTTCAATTGCCACTGTACGCGGTTTCCGCTTGTTGCCCGCAACGCTAGACTACCAGTCGGGACAAGCTCTAAGCTCCCGACCGGTCTCCTGGTATGTGTGGTAGTGTAGGGCATGTGTGTGTAAGGAGTGAGGATATGGCAAGGAATGGGATGGAAAGATCGCGTGCGGCCCGTGACCCGTTTGATAGGGTACTCCTCCGGCATTCGCTTCGTATTGATCACCAAAACCACGGAAACCGATCAGAGCAGCCGGCCGCTAGGAGTTTCCTCCAGACAGCGACAGAACTCTAAATTTCTAAATATTAAGATCATTTAAATACATTAAAAAATATTAATTGTATGGACACCGCGTTAGCAGCAATATAAAAGTGACCAGAATGTCATTATACATTGTGAGCTTTCTTCACAAAATATCAAACACCATCTTAATGATTTTTTAACGTATTTTTATGCATTGTGCTCGACAAACGGTGTATGTTTTAACGCAAGGATTCCCAACCTTTTTCCTTCATCGACCCTTTATCAACGAATTGTTTACTTTATCGATTCCTTTGCATTTTCTCGATAATATCCTTCATTAAGACACCAACATCCAGATTCGTATCTGCGGTATGGCAGACATGGTACGTGCCATGGGCGCCACTCACAAGGGGCGCTATTTAGAGTATACCTGCTAAAATAAATAACAACAACCCTAATTTGAAGTATCCTGACAGAGGCACAAATCCTATGCTTGCTGTGGGCGCTTGAATACCTAGATATGCCTCCGCAAACATCTGTAATCAAGACACACAAAAAGACACTTAAATGCCTTGAAGACAATTTTGTATACCAATATTCTCGTAAATATCTCGATTTTTCAATACTCGAAGACGCTCCCGCTTTAGAGTAGTTGAGTTTCTAACCTTCTTTAAAATGCGATGATGGCAAATCTTGAGTTTTCAACTGAGAATTACGTTTCTCCAGTGAATATTTCGGATAGTAATTTCTTGCAGGATAGAGTATCGTTGTGAATGTATAGTTATAACTTCTAGAGTTTTCTAAACTTCCTAATTCTTAAGGATGGACTACGGATACAAAAGAAGAACGAGTTTGTAATTAATTATCGAACATTTTGTTCTTTTATATCAGAAAATAGATAATTATGTTCATTAATATACTTTGTAATTAATGGTATCTTGCTTATCCTGAAAAGGTGCCTGCTTATTATAAGCTATTGGATCCCTTAATCATCATTGACCACCTTCAAAATTTCATCGCTCCCAGAGGGTCTGTACCGATCCCCATCAGGAATCCTGTTTTAATGGTAGTGCCATTTGTTTAAAGTACAATTTCTACTTCACTTAGGCAAGCCAATTTTGATTAATAGTATGTGGGTGAGGATTGATTTTTAGTTCTTCGCCTACTACGTACTTACGAAGTAAAAAGGTTTTGTAATGCTGCAGTGGAAAGTGGTGATTTTTCGTCAGGAAATCTCGTATTGTGGGTCATGATTTCGAAAAAGTGAGTAAATCTTGTTCCTATGTATATTAAATTACTTTCTCTAACACTTACTTACGTAGTCTGAATCAGCGTTAGGTGAGTCCTTGATAAAGAAAAATTCGTTTACGCCAAACGTTCATCTGTCCGTCCGTGTTCACCACAAGCTCCTAAACCATTCAGACGATTTTCTCCAATATCGATTCTGTCGATCTGGCTGAACTGGAGGTATTGCGAATTGGAAACAGATTTTGATAGGGGGAGAGGGCATGAAGCCTAAACAACAAATTCAAAATTTTCTTCAAAAGGAATCCTGAATTTGGAATGATTTTTTCTGGAATACAGCAACGTGTGCTTAAAACATTGGCTCAAGTCTCCTTTTCGTTTATCTCTCTTACTTTTTGTAACTTGCAATGCTAATTTTTTTTTGGAGTGTCTTTCTACGACTGCAACATTGAACATAGAGATTTTGAATTCTTCAATAATTCCTTGATAACTTACGTTCTTCAAAGACAGATCTTTAAATAATGTCATGAATAATTTTTCGAAAATATGCATAGTTTTTCGTCTAATTTTGCGTAAAATACAGGCAAAAAATTAATAAACATTTTTTTCTCCAATCGGCTTCCAATTCTTTCCTCGAAAAGAGCAAAGTATTTTTATTAAAATGGCGCATGTCTCATTTTCAGTGCACTCTGAATTTCACTTTCCCGAAAATTATAAGAGCTTAACAATGCAATATAGATGAAAGATGTTTTTGCTCGATGAAATTTGTTTAAAATATTAAATTTTGAAATTAGGTAATTACAATTTATTTGAAAATACTTTTTTCGAGCAAAGCATACTAGCATAAATGGAACAGGCTCCATTTTCGAAAGTTACAAATGATGATAAAAAGTATGTGCTGTTGGAGCATCACTAGCGTTATACATAAAATACTAAAAGATACCCTAAATAAGTGTAATAAGTACCTATGCAGCTCACAAGTTTTGTACATTCCTGGACGAGTAGTATAGCTTGTAGTCCATTATGATTTTTGGAATCTTACAATATTCTCACACTATGAGAATTTCTTCTCTCGTGTAGTAGCATTTCGAATTCATAAGGCTTCTTCAATTTGTTTTATTTACACATCCAAATCATTATTCGTAGTACAAATTCTATTTCATTGTGTGAAATCAAATATGGCGCGATTAGTAAATGTTCAGTCTATAGTTGGTGTTTCATCGATTTAGCCCCCCAGGAGCGCTGCTGTACTATCTTTCATCTTTAACAAATTGTTTTGAAACCAGTTTAAATATCCAACCCGCGGTTTATTCGAGAAAGTGTTGAAATATAATGTGATACTTTACTTTATACTACAATAACAGGATACGGTACCAAGAATTTTGTATCTTAATGTTGAAGCGGTACCTAAATTAATTAGGTTAGTAAGTAAAGTATATTGCATGTGTTGCCCTTGAGAGGTTATGTTTAACAGTTCTGACAGTAAATGCTTCTCTTTTCGCTTTTGTAAGATCTTACAATTATTAACACTCAGTCTGAGATAATCAACTATATGTTTATATATTTCATAGCGTTGAATGCGTTTTCTTATAATTAAATTTCATAAAAATATCCCATATAAGTTTACAAAATACATTTCGATGTATGCAACTGGGATTGTGTCATTAGATTCTGTAGTTGATGTATTTGTGAAGGAGGCAGGTGAACCTTGTTATTCATTGTCAACATTTTTGTTTTCTAAATGTAAATTATATCATCAACAGTGAAACTTGATAATATACACCTATAAATAAAGATGTATTCTGATGTTTATTATGCCAATGCAAACATTGATCTGTATTACTTTATTATCTTGCTTTAAAAACAGGATGTGTTACTTTATGCTTTTCACAAAAGAAACCATTGGCACGTGTATCTCAAAATTGAATTATGGATGTTGCTTCTTCTGCCACAAAGCGATCAGTGCTTGATTTGGATCCAGACTACAAAGATGGTCACGTTAGTGAAACCAAAAGAAGATGCTTGGTTGAAGAATCAGGTAAGTGAAATTGTCTATTTATTTTCCGAAAATAAATGGAAAACAAATGAAAGTTATGAGTGCGACCTTGATAAGTGTAATAACATTGTGGAACGTGTGTTGTTGTTTTTTGTCTTTGGAGAGTAAATGTTATTTTCTTATTGATTATGTGTGAAAAGTTAGGAAAAATATAATTATTCATGTCAAACGTTGGTTTTGTGATCAAATCATCAATATTTGTGAAATTTATTTGTTTTTACTTTAGACAGTAGCCAATTTGTCATTTATTTTAGTTATTAATAGCAAAGGAAGAAAGATTATGTTAATTGCAAAGAAAATGCATGGAACATAGTAAATGAAAATACCAGAATATATTCAGAAGTTGGTTGCTTTTGGGTGTTTATATGTACACTCGAAATCACTTTCATGAATTAGCCTCCAAATATAGTATCCCATCATACGCTTATTATATTGGCTGGTGTTCAAAATGCTTTATGCAAAATGCTGCTGTATCCTGTTGGAAATGCTGCTCTTGTTCTTACAAGTAAGATCCAACATTCTCCTTGCATATATCAAGATGAGCATCAAGCATATGGATCTTTAGCAACATTCCGAAGCCCATTGCAATGTACTTTTTCTTTAAGATACTGACCAGTGGCTCACAGTTTGTGATCCAATCCAAGCAGCTTTCACCTTCTCATCAAAGCACCTGTAGAAATTAATTATATTGAAGGATCTTTGTTTGTGGTCCCACAAAAGCACTTGCCTCGAACAAATGAGGGGAAAAGGTTCCAAGGTATTTGAAAGTCAGTGAATACTAGGGCTCCTACAAATTACTTAATAAGCTGTATGTGCAGTGGAGGCATAAGCACTTGCTTTTTACTTGTGGCTCTCACTTAATGTTGTGGCCCCACAGAAAACTGTCTGTTGAGGAAAAATCGCTGTTGTAGTGTACCTTGGTTTCTCTGCCATCCCAAAGACAGAGATACCAGGGGAACATGGTAAAACTACTGGAGACATTAGGAACCTCACTATCTTGAAATCTCTGATAACTTCAACTCCATGCTCAACATGCTTCAAGGTTTTCTAGCAAGATCTTGATACTGCTGTAATTCTCTTCGAGATGCACTAAGTGAGTGGATACTTGTTTCCATTATGAAGTAGCACAACTTTGAAGCTCTTTAATGAGCTGTCCATGATGAGACACCACTCAGTTGGGTTCAAGATGATTCCAATTTCATTAACAAACTGCTAATATTGTGACACCAAAAGAGACCATTTTGATGTGGGAGTGGGGGAAAGCAGAGAAAGTTTGATAATTCTTCTTCTGAGAGGTGATTTTCACACTTGTATCCAACAAGTCTCATGGCTTAAATCCTGATGTCAAAAGCTCAGCAATTGATTGAGTAGACCAAGATCTCTCACCAAATCATTTACAGCAGGGGGCCAAATTATTATGGGCAGTGCTCATATATGTGTAATTTCTAGTCTAAATCATTTTTTGAGAAAAAGATTTGGTTTCAATGAGATTGGTAGTATTATTATCATAATTATTGTTTTTAATAAGCGGCAACACTGAATGCCTACATTTTTTAAGAAATAAGTAATGTTGAAGCTAAGCTTCGTTTGTTTCTTCAAACATCAGCTGACATTTATTGAAAACTGCTGCTGTAGTGAGGACATACAAAATATATTTTAAGTGTTTTTCCTTTCCACATTACTTTTACTAAATTTCATGAGTGAATTTCATTTTAGTTTACAATTTAACACCATCACCTCTAAGTTTTCATTTTTGTAATATTGGTAAGGCTTCAGACCTTCAGACCCCAAGAAAATTTAAAGAAATACAAACATTACTTTACTCCACACACTCACAGAGAGATACTGCAACTATTGAAGGTGTTTGAAAATCTAATAGAATAAATATCAAAAGCTAACAGAGTAAAAATAAAAATTGATCAGCATAACCCATGGAAGCAGGCTGTGTGGATAAATGTGACAGGAAAAGAATCACCAGTCATTGTATCGATCATAGAATCAGGGATATCTGCTCAAAAATTGTAAAAAGAGTGTTGTATGTCTGAATACAAAGATAAATACCAAAAGAATGAAAGTTTCAAAAAGGACAGTCCAGAGACTGTTAGCCAAAGAGCATGATTGGTCATAGTCCTATCAAAGAACCACACCTCACTGAGTCCATGAGAAAGAAGCCACTAAGCTACTGCAATGGGTCGTACAACACCAAAGAATGACTGTTGCAGACTGGAGTAAAGTATTGTAAAACCTTTTTATACATTTCAAGCACTAGTGCATTTCATCAATAATAATTTTTTGTAATATTTTAAAGGTATGCTTCTCTAACGAATCAACGATTCAGATTTTGTTCAGCAAAAAGTTCTTTGACAGTACCATGGGCAGCAGTTTCATCTAGACTGCCTGGTGGAGAGGGTTAAACACCTGGTTAGCATCATGGTGTAGTCTGATGTTAGGGAAGGTATGGGGTGATTATACATTGTAGAAGGGACCATGAGGCAAGACTAATACAAGCAAGTACTTGCCACAGCTCGAACAGTGGTTTCATGGTGATGAATACATTTTTATGCACAATTCAGCACCGTGGCACTATGCCAGGAGTATTACTGCATTCCTGCCTGAGAAAATATTACCGTTTTGCCCTGGCCAGGAACTCACCAGAGATGAACCCACATGATCTCAATAGCGAACCAGAGGGGTTGTGTTCCCACAGGTTCTCTATAGAGAACATGGGGGAACTTACCAAATGCAATCGCCAAGCAAGTTATCACCACCATGAGCCAGTTAATTGCAATTTTGAACAAAGAATGGCATCACAACATTGAACTGCAACAACATACAAAAGCATGTATAGACAGAATGCCATGATACATTGAATCTGTAAGGATTGAATGGTGGCATCACTAAATACTAGGAGCAATTACACCTAAAAATAGTTTTACCTAAATATCTTACTGTTTTTATAATTTTCATAATACACTTATGAATGAAAAACACCTTTTAGATCAAAAACCAATGATTTGTTTTAAATAGGCAGTTAAAAATATTAAAGTCAAAATCTGTGACTTGTCCCTAATAATTTGGCCACCTACTGTATGTTATTTTGGTTAGGCATGGGTAGGTTTTTAGCTTGGATTCCTCTCCACTGCAAAGTCTCCATTACAATGTCTGCTAACATCCACTCTCTTCTGAATAAGGAATTTGTTGCTTTCTATCAGACAAAATGGGTGCAGGGAGGTCTGCACTATGCAGTACTGGGGTGATGATTGAAGACTATAACAGAAAGCCAATGTTTATGGAACATAATAGAGATTTTCCATACTTTAGGGCACAAACAATCAGGGAATGGCACTTTCAACTCAAGGGCAAACAAAAAATTAAAATTTGTTACATAGTGTAATTATTATTACACTATGCAATCAATTTTACACTACTTCATTTATTTTTAAAAACAAGCTCTGCACTGTGTTAAGTTTCATTCACAGAAGTGTAGTGGGTACTATGTATTATGCATTGCTACTTTTGTATTTAAATTTTTGACATAACAAGTGAAATTGTCTAAGTTATCACTTCAAGATTTAATTGTGAAGTACAAATAGAAGAGTTATGAAATTTTTCAATCATACCTTATTTTCTTTGGTGAGGCTCAGTCCATCAGGCCTGCTCTTCTACCTGACCATGCAAATTATGTTTCGCTTTTTTCAATGTCGAGTAGAAAAAGGAGGTATCTTTCTGGTGACGAAACAGGCGATTTTAATTTTACTCAGAGGCTTCTTTTAGGCTTGAGGATTTTTTTACATGCTGTAAATCTGCAATATGGAACAGCTGGCTTTACTTCTACTTTGAAGGAAGGCCTACAAAGGATATTTTTGCAGTTATAAATCCACAACTTTGATGAGGTTTGAACCCGCAAGCTTGGGTATCGGTATCCGAACCGTTATACCACCAAAGCTGTCAAATTATTTGTGTACGTAGTAAAATTATAAAGGAGAAATTCTTTCCGATTGCAATTATTTTACGGTCATTAAAATTGAATCAACTCTGGTTATTCTAATCTCCTTTTGCATTATATATAAATAAAGATTAAGAGAAAATTCTTATGCCGTTGTCATCCTTTTTCTTCTCCTTCTCTTCTAATAAATCTCTCGTGGCTTGCCTTTCACCACTGAGGTTCCGGGTTCGATTCCCGTAGAATATCATGTGAAATTTCTTCAGACAAAACGAATTGCTGCACAGGAGCCAGTCCAACCCCCCTGTGGAGTTTCGTAAACCTAATCCTAATTCCTTCCCAATTCTGGTCGCTGAGTAGTGACGCAGGGGCGCGTACGCGGAGATACTTGGCGGTCCTCTTGACAACTGACTGCGACGAGACGTGACAGGTATGACATGACGTATATGAATAAATGGAGGATTACTCCCGCTCTGTATTAATGGAGGATTACTCCGGAAGCGCAAAGCGCTTAACGCCCCGCGGGGCTTGGAGACGCGTTGCGTCATAACTTTACCCGGTGCTAATGTAAATGACAGAAGTTTGGTTAATGAGATTTACACTTACTGTCAGCGAGAATCACTTGACAACAATCAGCTTTTGGAATAAAAATGCAGGGAGCACAACTTGTTGCCGACTTTCCTCATGTGAATGAAATTGCTCTAAAGTTAATGAAATACCATGTTTGAATTTAATTTAAATAACGTGTTTCAAATATTGCATATTATTACTTACTTTCTTGACAAGACCTGTTAAAACGTATTTGCATGATGTGTCTTTTCATGGGGTTAAAAAAACACCAGCAGGAAGTTAATTTTCAAGAGTGCACCTATATTTATTGTGTATCATGGCTTTGTATGAAAGTGCTTATTTTTTGTTTACTAATTGTTCTTGTGAAAATTGTGTGTTACTAATTGTTCTTGTAAAAATTATCAAATTTCTATACAATTAAGGCCAAGAAAGCTGTTGATACTTTTATTTTTTTGATATAAATGTTCAT